TTGGAGCGGGATGGATGAAGTGAGGGCTCGCTTACGGTGTTTGTGTGATAGGAATGTGCCGTTAAGACTTAGGGAAGTTTTAGTAGAGTGGTGGTTCGACCGGCTATGTTGTATGGGGCTGAGTGTTGGCCAGTCAAGAACTCCCACGTGCAGAAGATGAGAGTAGCAGAGATGAGGATGTTGAGATGGATGTGTGGGTGTACCAGGAGAGATAGGATTAGGAATGAAGATATCCGGGACAGAGTGGGAGTAGCCTCCGTGGAGGACAAGATGCGGGAGTCGAGGCTGAGATGGTTCGGCCATGTTAAGAGAAGAAGCATTGATGCTCCAGTTAGGAGGTGTGAGAGGTTGGCCATTAAGAGTTTGAGAAGAGGTCGAGGTAGGCCTAAGAAGTATTGGGGAGAGGTGATTAGGCAGGACATGACGCTGCTTCAGCTCACTGAGGACATGACCCTTGATAGGAGAGTGTGGAGGTCGAGGATTAAGGTAGAAGGTTAGTAGGTTGTTTATAGTTGCTCACCGATAGTCTTAATAGTATGCATGTCCCTTCATATTCTTAGACTTTTATTATGTTATGTGGTTTTGTTCGCCTCATGTATTGTATTTCCTGTTGCTAATATTTGGTACCACTTATCCTGTATCCTTTTTTTTTCATTTATCTTCCATCTTTCTTCCTCCCTTGCTTTCCTTTTCTTCTTCTTCTTGCCCTTCCTGAGCCGAATGTCTATTGGAAACAGCCTCTCTACCTGCATTAGGTAGGGGTAAGGTCTGCGTACAGACCACCCTCCCCAAACCCCACTTGTTGGGACCAAACTGGGTTTGTTGTTGTTGTTGTTGTTATACACCTTGGATACAACATATCCTAGTTCACATATCAAAATAAAAAAATCGCATGAAAATGAGTTCATGTATCTGTATATATCACTATATTATTTTATAAAAGGATTCAATTATTATAGACCCATCGTCATTGTAGATGACAACCACCTCAAATCAGCATACATAGGGACCTTCGTTTCGGCTAGCACGTTAGATGGTGCAGGTAAATCAATTAACTACAACTTGAATATATACATGATACACTAACAAACAAATTGATCTTCTAAGTAATAAATACATATATATTGAACTTGTAGCATTCAATTGTAGAGCAGGACATATCGTACCACTAGCATATGGCATAGTTGATTCAGAGAATGATGCTGCTTGGTTGTGGTTCTTTGAGCAGTTCAAGGAAGCTTATAGAGAACGGGAAAACATGTGCGTTGTTTCTGATAGGAATGAGAGCATCATCAAAACTGTATCTAGAGTGTATCCTTTCGTACCATATTTTGCTAGCGTATGGCATCTCTGGAACAACGTATACAAGAAATTCAAAAAGAGTCATGAGAGGTTGAGTGAGGTATACTTTTCAATGGCAAAAGCATACACCCAGAATGAATTTTATAGTCTAATGGAAAAGGTGGAGAATATGGATATTCGGCTGAAAGAATATGTGGAGTTAGCTGGATACAGAAAATGGGCTAGGATGTATGCACCTGTTAACCGAGGATGGACTAAGACATCAAATATTGCTGAGTCAGTCAATTCGACACTTGTATCAGCAAAAGAATTGCCAATCTATAATTTCCTAGAAGAAGTTAGGAAGATGTCTGGACTTTGGAATTGCAGCAATCGAAAAGATGCTTCACACACATTCATAACGCTTCGGGAAAAAATTTCAAGAGATGCTAACATTGAATGAGGTGTAGTGTACATGTATGACTGTATGTGTTTATTAGTTTGCCATATTTAGTTATATTCATAAAAATCTGATACATAAATACATGTTGTCATTATTCTTTATGCATACATGAATACAAACTATATTATTGCCTATCTATATTGTATATGAACATTTTGATAAGGATATACATCAACGGAACAATTGCACACAATAAATGAATACAAAATGTATGATGTGATACAAAAAAATATATAATATATGTATTTATATTGAATACATATAATAAATAAATACATACAGTCTAAGTTGATAGATGAATACATAACTGAATACAAGGTATCTCTCATACATGCATACAAACTGTACGAATTCATATAGCCTATATAAGTATATTGATACAGTACATACTGTCTGTATATATATATATATATATATATATATATATATATATATATATATATATGGTACAAAATTATATGCAAAATGCCTAACTAATAACTTGATTAGTCATCTTCTCCTGTTTTTGATTATTTAGCACGTCCACTTTTCTATTTAAATTCTTCAAAATGCTAGTATGTTAACTTGGTTTTTCCTACTATGGTCAAAAGCTAATTAAATTCTTGATGCTATGCATTCAAGAACACCTGATACAGAATCTAATCTCATTCTTTGGCTCTTTACAAAGCAAAATCTAATCACTGAACACATGTCCAAATAAGACAAACTACACAAAGTTGACCTTGAGCCTAGTAACGTACGTAGGATATTTATTATGGGTTTCCCTTGTAAGTGGGTTTAGGGGGAGAAATTCAAAAATAGCCAGATTTACCACTGGTCGTTGAAAAATAGCCAAGTTTCAAAAGTCATCGAAATTTAGCCACTTTAAATCTGAGCGAAAACACTGTTCAAAATCCGGAAAAATACGCCCGCAAATTTTACGGGAGTTCCAGCATAAGTATGCTTGAACTCCCGTAAATTTTACGAGAGTTCCAGGATAACTATGCTGGAACTCCCGCAAATTTTACGGGAGTTCAAGCATAATTATGCTGGAACTCCCGCAAATTTTATGGGAGTTCTAGCAAGTATAATTGTCCAGTATAATATACTGGAGTTTGGAGCACTGGTGCTCCAGTCTCCCGCAAATTTTAC